TAAATGAATAAACAAAAAGTTATCACTTCAAAACTTAAAATAGTACCAAAAAGAATAAAATATTCAGGAACAAATTTAACCAAAGAGGTAAAAAAAATTGTATAATGAAAACCATAAAACAGGGGCCAGGGATATGGCTCAGTGGCATGGCACCTGCCTGGCAAGCACAAGATCCTGAGTTTGATTCCTGATTCCAAAATAAAACCAAAAACAAACAAAAAATCCCCAAATAATGAAAACCATAAAACATTGCTAAAGAAATTAAAGACCTAAGCAACTGTAAGTACAGTTTGGGTTCATGTACTAAAAGATTTAATATTGCAAAAATGACAATGTTACTCAAAACAATACATAGACTAAATACAATTCCTACCAAATTCCTAGTGGCATTCTTCACAGAAATGGAAAATCCCATCCTAAATCATATGAGTTGCAAGCGACCATGAATAGTCAAAATAATCTTTTTTTTTTTTTTTGAGACAGGGTCTCACTGTGTAGTTCAGGTTGGTCTTGAACTCACTATGTAGCCCAGGCCGGCCTCCAACTCTCAGCAATCCTCCTACCTCAGCCTCCCAAGTGCTAGGAATACAGGAATACAGTGTACCACCATACCCAGCTCATACTCAAAATAATCTTGAAAAAGAAGAACAAAGTTAGACAATTTACAAGTTCTGATTTCAAAACTTGCCACAAAACTAGAGTAGTCAAAAGTATAATATTGGGTCAGGGATATAGCTCAGTGGCACAGCACTTGCCTGGCAAGCGCAAGGTCCTGAGTTTGATTACAGGTACCAAAAACCAAAACAAAAGTATAATATTGACATAAGGATAAATATATAAACCAAAATTAAATAAAATTGAGAGGCCAGAATTAATCCTTCACATCTACAATCGATTTGTGTGTATGTATGCCTGTGTATGTGTGCATAAACTCAGGGCCTTGACATGCTAAGGGAGCACTCTACCACCAAGCTACATCCTCAACCCTTTTTAAAATTTTGAGACACTGTCTTGCTAAATTGCCAAGGCTGGTCTCAAACTTCCAGTCCTCCTGCCTCAACCTCCCTAGCAGCTACAATTTGTTTGTTTGTTTGCTTGCTTGTTTGTGACACTTTACATAGTCCAGGCTGGCCCTGAATTCAAAGTGATCCTTCTGCCTTAGCCTTAGCCTTAGCCTTAGCCTTCTAAGTGCTGGGATTATAGTCAATTGATTTTTAACAAATGTGCCCTTGACTAAAAATGGATCAAAGACTTAAAAACTGAGATGTAAAGTTATAAAATTATTAGCACAAAACATAAGGGCAAACCTTCAAAACTTTGATTTTTATGTCACCAAATTGCAGGTGATAAAAGAAAAAAAATAGATAAACTAACCTTTAATAATTTTAAAATTTTGAAACTGGGCGTGGTGGTGCACGCCTCCCAGCATTGGGGAGGCTGAGGCAGGAGGATTGGGGCAAGTTTGAGGCTAGCCTAGGCTACACAGTGAGTTCAAAATCAGCCTCAACTACATAAAAAGATCCTGTCTCAAAAAAACAAATGAACACATAAATAAAAATAAAAATGAGCAGCCAGGCACGGCAGTGCAAACCTATAATCCAGTACATTGGGAGGGTGACGCAAGATGATAGCAAGTCTGATCCCTGCATGGGTAACTTAGAAAATTAACAAGACCCTATCTAAAGAAAAATTTTTAAATGTTATTTAGTGGGTGTAGAATTTGTTTGGGGTGATTTAAAAAAAACCCACAGAATTAGTGGTGATGGCTACACACCATTGTTAATATAATTAATGCTACTGAATTCTACGCTTAAAAATAGTCATAATGACAAATTTTATGCTGTATGTAATCTACCACACTAAACAATTTTAAAGCAATGTAATGTGTCTATCAACTGCTAACTGCTAAAACTGGATACTGGGTACATGAGAACACTGCATTGTTCTCTCATCTGAAATTTAAGAAATAAAAATGTTTTCTGTAGTGTTTTGGTAGATATTCTTTGTCAACGAAAAGAAGTTTCTGTCTTTTTTCTAAACCGCTAAGAGGTTTTATCATGAATGAGTATTACATTTTATCATGTGGTTCCCTTCATCTACAAAATCATCACTTAGTTTTATCTTTAACCCATTAATGTGGCAAATTTTATCAGTACATTCTCTAAAGTAAATGTACCTTTTAAGACTCTTCAACTACTGGGACAAGCCCAACTTCGGCAGATGCTGAATTTTATGTCCTCTGTCATGGTTTGGGGGATGTTTTTGCAAGAGGAATAATATAATACAGGACACATATTTTATAAGATTATTTATAATAGTCACCCAAAGAATGATATACAGAAGAGTGCAGGAAATCTGTCCACAAACTGTAGACCAAGGAATCTAGCTGAGGGCCTGGATCCCACGATAATGTCCTGCATGAGTCTAGCTGAAGACCTAGAGCCCATAACAGTACCTCCCATGAACCAACTGGAAGCCCAGAGCTCATAACAATATCTCACACAGGCCTGTTTCACGGATCTGTGCTGGGAAGGCCCAAAGGTCAGTGGTGGAATCTAGGAAGTCTGTGCCAACAAGATGAAGGATCTGTGCTATCAGGCTGAGGGATCTACACTGGAGCCAGGAAGCAACGCGTAAAGTAAGAACCAGAGCTCCCCTGAAAAGTACCACAGCCATCCTCAGCAATAGTGAGGTCCCAAGCTCCTCTGATGGCGAAGACAGCTGAATTCCCAACAGGAAAGCCAATGCAGCAAGCTTCTTCAGGAGACTGAGCTGTGTGCATCTTCTTCCTCACTGGAGCCAGGAAGCCATGCTCAAAGTGAGGACCAGAGCTCCAACGAAGTGAACTGAAGCTATTCTCAGTGCCAACAAGGTCCTGAGCTCCTCGCAGGATGAAAATAGCCAAGTTCATCAGGAAAACTAGCATGACAAGCTCCTCCAACAGAACCAACAGCTCCTTCCAGCTTCCACCAGCTCCCAACAGTCTTTCTCAGCTCCTAACAGCCTAACTTCTTCTTCTCCAGTTCTGCCTCTTACGCTGCTGGCAACAGTCCCCAGGCGGGCCTCCCACACCCCGCACCATGCTTACTCAGTTCGGCTGGGGGTTATAAATTGACCGCCAGTTGTCAATCCACCACACCTGTTAGATTTTACTTGCCATGTTCTGTTACTCCATACAGTCCCATAATTCTCTGTGTATCTATCGTAAGAACCACAAAACTGTACTGTAAATACGAATTCCCTGAGGGTACAGACTCATCCACTGCTCTGTTCCTAGTTAGTGCAAGTCTAACACATAGCAAGCCCTCAATTAAAGCATGGCTGATGAACAAATGAGTAAATGAAAGGGTAAGTGGAAAGATGAAAGGTGAACAGACGAACACCTTAATCTAGAAAAGTGACATATGCAGACACAGAGAAGCTCTTTCAGACAGGGTAACTTTTAAAAGGGTCACCAACCACTCCACAAAGGTATGCGCTCTGTCTGTGAACAACTCAATTTGTCTGCAGCTCTATAAACCAACCCTACATATTTCCACTGGCCCTTTTCACCCAGTGAGCAACATTCCACAATTTGGTGCCTAACTTCAGCCAACATAATTCAGCCCTCAAATCTCAGATCTTACACGCCATTGAGGAGGAACCTGGCATTAGTGTTGAACTTAACATGTTCCTCTCAGAGTTTATTCCTGACAATCAGAATGGCCTCATCCCAATCCTGACTGGCACAGAAAGAGCCTGTGCCATTAACAATTCACTGCATCAGCAGAACAGAGGAGGAGAGTAATCAGCAAGGAAGCAGCTGAAGTATCTCAGCAGCTGTAAATTGTGTTTTCTCCCCTTCTCCTCCAAGTCCGCATTCAACGGTGCCCCACGCCTCCACACTGAACTTGCATTTGTCAAGTATCTATGTCAACTGCAGGAACCAAGTTCAAGAAACAATACTAAAAAGCACTAATTAACTGATATTTAAATAACTGTGTTTAATGTCAACAAAAACCACACTTTAACTTTAAACATCCCTTAGTCTATTAGTTGCTTAATTAAATTTCTTAAGATCCTTGGACACTGACACAGAACACATCGCCCTGAAGAGCTGTTCTTAGGCCCTGGCTTAGCAGGATGTGGAAGGGGAGGGGCCGTGCCCCTGGGGAAGTGCCAAGGGAGCCTTGATTTTCTTCTAGAGTCTCCTAATAAGGTGGTTCCTCTTCTCAGCTCTGCTGGTCTCCATAGGGCAGCAAGAACATGACAAAAAAATACATTTTGAGCATGGAAAAGTGCCAAACCAGGATACAATTTATTTTTTAAAGTACAATTTTTCTTTAAAAAAAAAAAAAAAAGGACACGTATAAACCCAAGAGAGTTATTTTTCCCATCTGGTATCTGTTCTTCTTTAAAACGGTATATCACAAAATATTCAGGCATGAGTACAGAGGGTATACAACAGGATTTATAACAGCAGGTGGGGCCAGGGGGCCACATAAGATGCCACTAACCAAATCCCAGCCTGCCAGGAGTCATCAGCCTGCAACTGACAGGGGTACAGCTCAGCCAGCAGCAGCATTCTACACTGGAACTTTTCAAAGAGACTCAGTTCCAGTGAGTGAGTTTGTGACAGGCATGTCAGCAGGACCCAGAATTTTTTCCTGCTATAGTAAGCTCCATGGGGACAGCTTGCCAGTTTGCCCACTTACCAAACCAGATTTGCTGAAAGGGAGTGACACACCAGCTACCTGCCCAGGTAAACATCCTGGGAACAGTGTGTCTCACCGACTCCAGGCAGAGCACATCTGGCCAAGGATCAGCAAGCATTTGGAACCTATATTTTGGACAGCAGCTGCCCTGAGCCCAATCCTACTATGGCATACGACACCATCATTTTAAGAGCAACAAGCGTGTGAGAGACACTAAGTGGCCCACATTTGCTTATCCTTACAGCAGAGTTCCAATTCATTCTGTTCTCCCTTCAGACTGACTACCTCACATGTAGTTGGCCTTACCTTTCTTTCCGTCACTCAGCTCTTCCCTATGTCCTCCTCTGTTTTGCTGAAAGAGCTTGCCCTTCTAAAATAGGAAGGAATTCTTTTCCAATTATTGCTTCTGTTTCTTGCTGCTCAGAGATTCCTCTTGTAGCAGCTCTCCTTAAAACATCCACAATAGCAACACCAACAAAAAACATTAGGTAGGGAGAACACAGTTAACAACCAGGAACAAGCCCTGGCTTTAAAGACGCCAGATATTTGGGTTGTAGCTCACAGGAATGTGGAGAGCATCCAAAAACAAAACAAAAACAAAATCCAGTAATAGTATGCACACACAGCCCAAACACACTGTTGATTTGCTACCTGCAGTTCCACACCCACACCAAAGCTATTTCAACCCTAGATGAGTAGGTAACAATCAAGTCAACCTAGAAAAAAATATATTTTGCAAAGACCTTGTTCACCCTCCCATATAAGATCACAATCAAAAGAGCAAACCCCATGCACTGCGAAAAGATGAATAAATCCATACTTTCTACTAGGGAACAAACATCAGTTGCCATCCCAGCACATCTGACTGAGGATTATATATCCTTCCATACATATTTGTTGAAACCTGCTCCATCTCAGATATGTGCCAGGCGGCTGAGATGCAAAAAAGAAGTTTACAGGAGGGCCACAGCAATGACAAGCAAATCAGTAGTTACAGCAAATCTTGCATTAAGGAGCCCTGTCAGAGATGACTCTGAGGCTGGAGAAGAGAGAAATATCCTTTAGGGGATAGGGTCAGGGAGAACTTCCTGGAAGAGGTGAGCGGTGAAGATTAAAAGAGGGACAGGGGTTAGCCAAACAATGACAATGAGAGCCAGGCAGAGGCCTGAGTGCTCTTTGAAGTCCCGGAGGCATGAAACTAGGAATATGCATTTATTTCAGCAAATATATGCAGGACCAAAGGGCTTACGGGCAGTCATGTTATGGTGGTACACAGAACCCTTTTTGCCAGACATGTCAGGCTTCAAATCCACAGTTCACTGTACTGTCTTAGCAAATCTTTGGAACCTCTCTCTTTTTCAGAATTGTATAATGCTGAAGAAGAGATAAGAGAGGCAAAAACAAAGCTGGCTAGTTTATTAAACTGCTATCCAGCAGGGTGTGGTGGTGCACACCTGTAATCCCAACACTCGAGAGGCTGAGGCAGGAGAATCACTGTGAGTTCAAGGTCAGTCTACACTACATAGCGAGACCCTGTCTCAAACAAACACACATACACACACACACACACACACACACACACACACACACATATATATATACACTGCTATCTGGAGAAGTGGTTCACCATAATTTGTGAATTCTACTTATTAACTCCCTATAGTTCAATGGTTTACTCTTGAAAACACCCTATTTCTGTCTTCCTTAATAGAAGAAACCAGTAAACAATCTGGAATTGGACTGTAGTTCACCCATAGTAACCCACCCCATGGGCAACTTGAAAAGGAAAGCAGCCTAAGATTCTGGGAACAGGGCCAGGGATATAGCTCAGCAGCATAAGCGCTTGCCTGGCAAGCCTGAGGTCATGAGTTCGATTCCCGATAACCAAAAAAAAAAAAAAAACCAGAGTGGATTCTGGGAACAGGCTTCATGCCACCCTTCCCCAGAGAATATGCCTGCTATAGTCTCCTCTTATGCATTTCACATTCAACAAGTGGGCCCCTGCTTTACCCTCCATATGCCTGATCCTCTTCTATAACTACCCTGCTCTCCTGCCCAAGCCAGAAATGGGGCGTTCTCAATATTTCCCTCTCCCTTTTCTTCCTTTCCATCCACCTGCTGCCCATCTATCATCAACTATTGTTAATTTCATCTGCTAAATTTCTCCCGCTCAGGTGTTCCTGCTCACATGCCCAAACTGCTAAGGCCACGCTCACCTCCCAGGTGAAGGCAGCCCTCACAGGCTTTCAGTGAGGCTGAGCACTGCAATGAGGAAACAGAAGGCACACAACGTTAATGGATCTCTTACGGGCTCTACCCAGGGTTTCTGGAATATCCAACATCCAGTCTCCCAAGCCCCTATAAAAATTCTCACTAATGACACTTTTTTCTTCAGATGAAGTGAGGCACTCAGAGAGTCTGTTCAATAACAGCAGAAGTTAGATAGCGGGCTACAGGGCAGACTGTGCCTGCATAAGTCTCTGGAAATGCCAATGGGTTTGGGAGCCCAGAGCCTGAGATCTATGACTATAGGAATCAAATCCCAGGTAAGGCAAGCTTGGCTCCCCTCAGCCCACCCTTCATTTCCCATGGAGATGAAACACAAGAACAGCCACTGAACTGAGAAGTCCTCATCCCCACACCCTCCACTACCCTGCCCTGCCATAAGGAAAATCATTTTCATCCACTAAAGCAGAGGGAATAAGGCAATTTTTAGGAAAAGGATGTTGGTGTTGACAATACCTTGGAGCTTTATTTTCCAAGTTAAAGATAGAGAGAAAGACAGACACTGACATATTGAAGAAAAGGAAAGATCTGACCATGCCTCTCAGCCTCAACTCAATGGAAACCTTCCCTTTGCCCCATTCCCTACCATTGGCCCTCACACCAGCACAGAGGAATAAATGTCTGTTGAACAAACAAATGAAGAAATGAACAAATAGTAGACTGAGAAGCCAGAGAGAGAGGCAACAGAAAAGAAGCCCTCACTCAAAAAACATTTCATTTATCTGGACGCGCATGAGCACCTAGAGTGTACAATGCACCAGTGCAAAGTGTGGGCACACACAGGTGTGCACAACTGTGAAAGAAATGAGCAGGGAGAGAAGCACTCTCCCTCACCTCCCTGGGGAGGCAGCTTTCCCAGTGCTGCTTTCCCAGTGCCTCCCGTTCTCCTGACATTAAAGCCATGCCTAACGGCACATATGCACATAAAAACTTCACTTTCTATTGCACCCAGTACTTTGGGGCCTTGTGGTTTCTTTTCTAAGAAAAAGCCTGTCATTCATCTCCTTGATTAAAAATTGATTTAATTTGGCTTTCATTAGGTAGGTACAAGGGGAAAACATATAGATTCACAGAGATAATGTGCCCAGCAACAGGACTGTGATGAGCTCCACTGACTGCACAGTTGGGTCCCAACCCACTGCCGATGAAAGAAAATTAAAAAGCTCACAACGTGGAGCTTAAGCTCCAGCCAAAAGGAATTATCTTCCCACAAGCATCTCTGTCGGATTTTTGGTTAATGGAAAAAACTTTTAAAAGGGAAGGAAAGGAAACCCTAAGGATATTTAACATAAAACTTAGACTTTCTATATTTCTTCAAATTCCCTTGCAGGGAAAAAAGCAAAGAGGTCTTTATTTCTCAGTCTTACTTTTTAAAACTTCTGTTGATATGACATTGTCATAAAAATTTTTCAATTTGTAGAGAGCATGAAGCAGAGGTAGGTGCAGCGGCTGAGGAATTCTAAGCCAGAGTGCAGGGGCTCTGCGGTGAGAGCTGAGAGCTGCCAAAGAGGTGGGAGCAGCGATCCTGAACACCGCTCACTCAGCTATGCTGCCTTGGGCTGTGGGGCTAAGATCAAACAGCAGGCGCTCAGGCCTGAGGCAGACCGCGTTCTCCCATGTGTCAGACTCTCACATTCAGACTGTGACTTGGAGCTAATGGATGGGTTTCACTGCAACGTCAAAGGAGTTTGAGGTACAAGATCAGCAAATTGCAGTACAAGTATATACCTTGATTAAATGTTAGAGATTATTCTATATCCACAGCTTGAATCTGACCCATCCTCCCCAGCTAGAAACAATTTAATGTTTTTCCAGGACGCTCAGGATAAAGGCCAAATTCTTTACCCAAACCCCTCTACCAGCCAGAGCCAATCAATATCCACAGCTTCCCTCTCATCCTCACCTTGTCTACAGCTGCCTTTATACAACATGTTTCCTTCTGCTCTAAGATATCTCGTCTCCCACCTCTAGGCTTCTGCACATCACTCCCTCTGCTTGGAATGCCATTTCCTTTCCTCTTTATCTGACAAATTCCTACTCATCCTAAAGGTTTCAGTTTAAAAGCTCCTTCCTCTAGGAGATCTTTCCCAACCACCACCCCCAGAAAAGACTCAGTGCTGCCAGAGCATTCACCCTTCCATGATCATAACACTATTTTTTTTTTTTTTTTCAGTAATGGGGATTGAATCTAAGGTCTTCACATTAAGCTACATCTCTAATTTTTTTTTTTTTTTTTTTTTTTTTTGACACAGGCTCTTACTAAGTCTCTAAGTAGCCCAGGCTGGGCTCAAACTTCTGATCTTCTTGCCTCAACCTCCCAGAGTGTTAGAATTACAGGTGTGTGCCACCATGCCTGGCTTACACTTTCTTATATAGCTGTCCTTCTCCCTAGACCATAAGCATTGTAGAGAAAGGGACCACATCCATTCTGCATGTACACAGAACATACCTAAGAGTCCCAACAAGCTTGACCCTCCACACAGATGAAAAATTTAATAAATTCTTGAGGGATGGCTTAGAGTCTATCAGGCTCACATCTCAGTTCCATCCTATTCACCTCTAAAGCCACTTGCTGCTGCTGTCACTGCCACTACCACTATACCGCCAACCCCTGGATTGCTGGTCTAGGCCTTAACCTGAAGCATGGTCATCAGCCATTTATTGTACCACCTGTTATGTGATAAACAGCGTTCAGTAACTGAGCTACAGAGATGATTTAGGTTCCTCTTCTGCCTTCTAGGAGACAAAAAGGACATTTACACAAATAACTACCACATAAGACCCATAATAGAGATACATAAGGGGTATAGATGATACAGAGAATGAGACCTCAGAACTAAGTCAATCTGGGCTGGGGATATAGCTCAGTGGCATAAGCGCCTGCCTGGCAAGTGCAAAGTCATGAGTTCGATCCCCAGTACCACAAAAAAAAAAAAAAAAAAAATTAAGGCGATCATCCTAGTATGTCTCTTCCCCCAGTGTCCCAAGCCAACTATAGTCTGCCTCATTGCCTCTAGGCAGTGACAATCCTTCTAGTACTCAAGATCAGACTTCTCCAAGCTAGACTCCCATTATGTTCCAGATTAATTCAAATCCTTCCTGTCTACAGCTTTCTCACCTTCTTCAGTTCTATTCCCAGGCATCTCACTTACATACGGTACATCTCAGCCTCTGCTCTATCCTGAGCCAGCTTGTCCAGACTATTATTTTTCCATCTCC